TATTCCTCGTGAGATTTACATCCTTCCTCCCTTTCCGGGTCTCCCGACGGGAGAGCGACGTGGAGAGAGAGAGAGAGTGGCGCGCTCATACACGTGCGCGCAAAGCCGCTCGCAATTTGAACGGGTTTCGGGGTTAAAGATAGTATCCCGAGGCAGTAGGGTAACATAATAGGCCGGGATGGGGGTCTGGGTCTAACGAGAGACAGAGAGGGAAAGAGAATGGGAGCAGAGAAGAGAGAAGAGAGAGAGAGAGAGAGAGAGAGGAGCTCGATGTCGAGACACGCGGTAGTAGTAGGGAGATGCAGAAAGAAACGTGAGAAACGGAGACAGATTGAGCGAGGAGGAAAAAGGAAGGACGTGGACGGAGTAAGAGGAAGGTTTCGAATCCATCCGGGGGCGAGACAAAGAGAGGGAAAGAGATATCTGAAAGAGTTGAAGGGAGATAGGACGTGAAAAGAGACACGGTGGATGTGTACGGCACACGGTGCATCGGACTAGCCAGTCGCGAATGGAGGTGGAGAAGAGAGAAGGAGGAGAAGGATAGAGTAGTTAAGTTAGTCTGTCGGTCAGTGACTGCCTGACTTTCCCGGCGCAGCTGAAGGTCAACTCTCCCCTTCTCTCGACCTCATCCTCCTCGTCCACACCTCCCGCTCCTCCGCCTCTCCGTCTTCTTCCTCCTCCTCCTCCTCCTACCCACTTCTCCACCACCCGCTGCTGAACCACTGCTGTTGCCTTCTTCTTTTCACTTCATCTCTCTCTCTCTTTCTGTTCCTCTCACGACCGCTTACCACCAACACTCTCCGTGTGTCCAGCCCCATCTTTATCCTATCCTCCTTCTCTCTTCCTTCCTTCCTCTTTATCTTCCTCTCCTTCTCGATGTATTCTTTGATACGCGCGCGTATGCATTCTCGTATACCGCTATACACACACCGTTCCTAAGCCTGCATCACGCTTTGTGTATCGCGCGTGCATGTGTCCTACTACATATGTGCGCGTGCGCACACATATACGAATATAGTATCCACGCCGCTTTGTTTATGCCGTACGAACAGTTTCGGTGCCTTTCCTCTTCACACCGTGTCACTCCATCCTTCTTCCGCCGCCGCTGCCCTCCTCGACGGGTTGAGGGTCATTCGTGCACTTAGGTGCACGCGGAATTCCGCCTCGAAGTCCTGGTACGTGAGAACTCGCCTTGCACAGTCACATCCACGACGTATTTCTTTTCTTCATCCTTCGTACGAGTTGCTTCTCTCCTACGCAAATACGCGATACAGACGATCGAAATTTATCGTTTTCGTGAAAGTCGTGAACTATTTTTTCTTTTTATTTCGTGGAAGAAAAAATCGTGGATAAAAATGTTTGCATCGATCGATTATTTGCCAACGATTAAAAAAATAGCATACAGTGTCAATTGACATTGCCGTCTTTGTTGATCGCCTTTCCATTCTTTTTTTTTTCTTCTCTCTCTTTCTCTCTCTTTCTCTCCATTACATCCAAACAATATCATCGCTAAGATAATTCGTATCTGAGAAAGAAATAACGGTGCGTTTATTGGTACAGTAATTCGTCCGAAGGAAATCGTACGATAAGTCTCGCGCGTATCTGTGTCTTCAATTGGTTAACCATACGAATTGCCGATAATGTCAGTGAGTGTCGATATATGTATACAGAACTAACTCGTTAAATGACGGGTTCACGGCTATTAACGCCATATATGTCTTCGTCGTATCTTGTTTTTTTTTTTTTTTTATTTCTCTTTTTCTCATTTGTCTATAAAGTATTATACACGAATATCAGCTGCTTATACATATAAGTCTCGAATATTTTCGTTGCCAACGATAAAAAATAAAATTCATACTTTTGCTGAATCGACTTCTATGATAGATAAATGAAAAGATATAAACAACGAAATATATAAAATGAAGATAAAATTATTTATCATCGTATTTATCATTTTTTTTTTTTGTTCATATCTACGCATATATCCGCGTTATTTTCTAAAATTTATTCCCTGAATAATTATTCAAGTTACGAAAATGTAAAACGTGAGAATCCGTTCTCCATATAGAGACGCAGAGATTCCTCTTCCGTCGTCTTCACTTTCAGTCTACACGTCTCTTTACCCCATCCTTCCACTACTACTACTACCGATTCGTACGTTCCTGAACATCCCCACCAGAAACGGCGAGATCATCTCCTCCCGCTTCCCCGTTTTTTCTTTCGCTCTCTCCCTGTATCCCTCCCTTCTTGCTATACTTGTACTTCCGGCCGCAAGGCTAGCGCGAAATTCTCGCAAAATACACGAGAACCACGACTCCGTGGATAACTTCGATCCTTCCTTTTCCCTCTCTTTTGTACGTATTTTTAACTATCGACTTGTTCACCGGCTGCTTCATCTAAACTTCCTGCCACCACTGTCAGGAAGAAACGGCCTACTACATGGTCGAAAACATCATTGCCGGAGCGGAAGCCACTTGTTCGTCTGTCCTCTTTTCTTTCGTGTATTCCTCCTCTTCCTCTCGATTCTTTCTCGCCTATTTAAAATCAATCATCAAGTGATTATATATCGTTTAAAAAATACATAGGATGAAAGATTACCATTCGATTCATAACAATCATTTTTTTAAGCAATAAAATTCCTATTACACATATATTCGAATCAATAAAAAAAAAAAAAAAAAGAAAATCTCGCGGTTAAAATCGGAATTTATGTTCTTCTTCTGTACAATAATAAAGCAACAGCAACGGCAGTGTGTTCTATGCGTCACGAAACATTCATGTGTATACGCGATGCATCGCCTCTCTAGCGGTCCTTCGCTATACGACATCCGTGGTATAGGTCAGTGAAGTAGTAGCTCCCCCACTACACGACTCCTAGACAACGGGTCTACGATTGACTCATCTAGCTAGTCATACGGCGCGTAAACACGATCCACTCCAGCTGTTCTGCCGCTCTTGATCTTCGTTCTATCTTTCCTTCTTTGTCTATCTATCTTTGTCTCTCTCCCTCTCTCATTCCCACTCGCTCTCTTCTTCCTTCTTCCTACTTCGTGTCTTTTTTTTCTACTATCTCGTTCTTTGTCCTCCCTTCTACCTCTTTCTCTCTTGTATAATCTATATACACGGATCCCGAGAACAACGGGGCGTTCTCTTTATTTTTAGAGGCACCTCGAGAATTCGGTTCCCTGCCTCTCCATCTTTTTGTCTGCCTTATTCGATTCGTTTTCTCTCTCTTTTTCTCTTTTCTCTTTCCCCCTTTTTAAGCTTCTCTCTTTGGCATCGGCTCGAAAACAGAAAAGCTTCTCCTCGAATAGAGAAGGAATCGCTCAACCTCGTGGCGCACCTCCACGGAACTACGAAGAACGACGCATAGAACGCAAGAAAGTGGCACCCGAGAGCGGTGGTGGAGGGTATGCAGAGAACGAGTTCCGATTTTAGCGCAGTCGCGGCGGCCTCAGAACGAGCGGCGCTATTATGCACTAGTAGCTTGATGGCGTCACCCGTGCAACCTTGGCTCGGGTCAGTCCTCTATCATACTGCAGCCAGAGTTCCCCTACCCTTTTAGTCGTCATCCTCCTCTTTCTCTATCTTGGTCATCCTCTCTCTGTCTCTCGTGTGATCACTCTCGTATGTTCCCTCTCATCCTTCTCTCTCTCTCTTCATTTGGCTCCGCTTAGCCCTCTCTTTACCCGACTACCTCTTCTTCTCTTCTCCGCGCACACACGGCACTGGCCACACGATCAGTGGCGTAAGAATACTTTCTATTTCGAGGTATCTCTCTCGGAGTTCCTTGTTTTCGTAGAATTATTTTACAACGAAATTTTTTATCTGGATCGCATTCGTGTAAAATATTTATTTTGATGAAAAGAAATATAATCGGAATTAAATAAAATACTTGGCTACTTGGCTTCGAATATACTGATAATCTACCGATGATTGGATGGGGAAAAACGCAAATAAATGCATTTATAGATTTAAAATCAATAGATATCCGATTATTTTACTGGTGTTGCAGTTTTACGATCGAAATTAGGGATTCGTTATAGAATTGTTCACGTGGGAAGTAGTTCGTAAAAATGTATCGTATATGTTTGTACTTTCAGTTGCGCCAGTAAAACTATGTAGTTATAACTGTATGCTACAACTAATCTCGTTCGACGCGTAAACGATATTTCTAACATTCGTAGATCTCGTATTCGATTCGACCTGTATGTCGATTCAATGCACATTTTCTTTACTGCTTGTCACGGAATCGAGATCGATCGTGACCGCTTGAGAGAAAAAAAGGTTATCGAGACGAAGCCGCGAGAACTCGTTCTGAAACATCAATCATCTGGTGACAGAAACGGCAAAGCACCGGCAACGATGCTCTGTGAACAGCTATTAATAGTTCATTGCACGGTTAAGTACGATGTATACTTCAAGAGACGCATTGCGAAAATCTCAATATCACGCAACAAATTGATTATTGATCAGTGTTAATTCATAAGTTTATTTTGATCGAGAAGTTTTGAAATATAGATACCATCGATCAGATTATCTATGTATTTGAGAAATGTTCACCAGTAGAATAGGACTGAATTTGATCAAACATATTAAAGTAATTCAAATATGTAATGCATTTCGAAATTTAAAAAACCTAACCTAAAATCCTAGCTCTATGATCATTTGTATATAATTTTGTATAGAAAACTGATGCGTTAAATTTAATTTTTTCATAAATAAATAAAACAATTTTTTTATGAGGAAAAAATCTCATAATCGGATTAAGTTTATAATTAATTTGATGACAATCTGTATTATCTTCCAATGATAACAATTATACTACTGCCATCTAGCGAAGCTAGATGTAATAAAAGATAGTCATTTATTATAAATATAATTATAAATATTTTATAACTGATATATAATTATTCATGTTAAAAAATATATAATGATATTAAAAATTCATATTAAAACAATATCTTCATACTTCATGATTATTCTTCTTTTGTTTACAGTATCCGAGAGCTATAGCAGTTATGTGAACTCGATGTATGCCAGCGGGGCTCAATTTGCAACACCTTGTACCCCTAGTCCACCACGGGTACCTGGAGGAGTTCCAACGAGTGTAATTCAAGCAGCTACCAGTTCGGTTTCCGACGATTTATATCTACTGGAATTAGGTTTTCCCCCACGGTCGAAGAAGAACAAGTTGAAAAAACCGCGTCAAGGAGACGGTGCTGCGGTAAAAAGGAATCTCGCGAGGGTTCGACGACGTATCTTTGGGAATTTTTGTTAAAATTACTACAGGATCGAGAGTATTGCCCTCGATACATCAAGTGGACGAATCGCGAACGAGGTGTCTTCAAATTGGTGGACAGCAAAGCAGTATCTCGTCTATGGGGTTTGCACAAGAATAAGCCGGACATGAACTATGAAACGATGGGTCGAGCCCTGCGTTATTATTATCAGCGTGGTATCTTGGCAAAAGTTGACGGACAGAGGCTAGTCTATCAATTCGTGGATGTACCGAAAGATATTATAGAAATTGACTGTACCGGCGCGTGAGATAGGGTTCGATCGAAGGAACAGCAGCACGGCGAGAGGCGAGCTATACGGGAAAAGAGTGATTCGTGTATTTATGCTGCGATCTTTCGCGAGAACACATCGTTATCGTCATCATCGTTCTCATCAAGCAGCTCTTCCTGCCACAATGTGCTTACTTGGCACACCCCTCAGACGATCTAAAGCATACCCTCTCTCTGACTTCGTTTGTTCCTTGTATTATAAATATATACTTATAGAGACATATATTAAAACGTGAATAGCGCATGCGCACGGATGCTGCCGCGTGAGGATGAGTGTTTTGTTTTTGTCGACGCGACAGTTGCCACGTACGGTATACCTATGCAATTACCGTATATTGTAATTTCGTCCTCCTTTGGTCTTTCTTTTTCTTATTATTCTTTGGCGGTATACGTCAATAATAATCGTACTAAGCTTTACAACGTTTATGTATATTATATATGTATATATACATATATATATATATACACACGTATATGCATACATATATGTATATAATATGTATACGTTGAGCTCGTTCAAATTTGTACAAAATTTAGTTTTTAAAAATGCTACGGCACAAATGTTATTAAATATGTTTTAATCAAGAGTAAATGAAGAAAGAAAAAATTAAAATGAATCTATTACTTAACATATAGCCGAAATATAGGCTAACAATTGTACATTCAAGAATGCGATAAATTATTTATTGTATATTAGACGATTATATATGTTACCTAGAAAAAAGAAAAAAAGAAATTGTTATATACGTCGATGTCGATGAAGGGAATCATAAGAAAGCAAAGGGGAAGTAAAACTTAACACAATGTGCATGCACGCGTATGTGGAAAGTTTAAAGAAGAAAAAACCGAAACGAAATGAGGGCTGTGAAAAGATTCAGAAAGGAAGAAAATATGATAGTGCGGAAATGATAAAGATGTTAAAAAAGTTTTACGGAGCGAGCTCAGGGAGAGGTACACATATATACAAACACACATTTAAACACTACACGTGCATACGTGTGTATGATTGCACACGGCTGTACGTCTATACAAACACAGTATCCACACACTATATTTTTTTAAATATAAGCGAAAAAAGGGCGACTCTTCTATTTGAGCTGAAGGTTCAACAATGTAAGGTGCTGGCTATACACACGAGGTCCAAGAATGTTATTTAGCAAGCTAGTGTTACTAATTCATAAAAAAAATTATTGAAAACAGACATTATATCTCTGTATATATAAAATTACACCTTTTAGTATATATTATTGAATATTATATATATATTATATGAATATATATTGTATGTTATGTAGTAAATGGAGTGAGTTAATGTATCTCTATGAGATTTTTTGTCACGTCTGCATAGGAAGAAGTTTGAGTAACCGTCTATCCGTACGATGTCTCTATTCCTGTCTTTTTATATAGGAAAAAAAGGAAGTAAACACTGTGGAAGCATTATCGTTTTTCTCTTGTATTGTAATTCTCTTTTTTTTTCTTCTTTTTTTTTTCCTTTTTAATAAACTATCGACATTGAGATCAAACGATAATGAATTGATTTGCATGGTCAGTGATTTGATTCCATGATCTGCAAAAAAAAAAAAAACGCACATCCGCGTGTTTCCTGTGCTCAGCTGGAATTAGAGACATCATACTTTTCTAAACGTTTTAGAATATAATAGCCTTCCTAAGATGTAAGGGGCGTTCGAAACATGATAAGTTAGAGAGAAATTTAATTTATTGAGCAGCAGCCCGCCCCTAAATACGGACGTGATGTGCGAGTGCAAGCGTATCCTATAGAAATAAGTTTTGTACATAAAGATTCGTTGAGAGCATACTTAGAAAGAATATTACGCTACGTTATCTTCGTAATCGTGGACAAACGAAAAAAGAGAAAAAAACAGGAGAGACAAAAAGAGATAAAAGTGCAACTCATCTTTGAGGCTTAATCTGCGATTAAGCTCTCTGCACAAGTTCTTTTTGATGATCACCTCCAAACATTTCGAAGAAGAAAATAAAAATATAATAAATAATAGAGAATATGATCAAGTGCTGCCAATAATGCCTGTAAACGGTCCCTTGCATTTTATCACTTAAAAGAAAAGAAACAAAAAACAATATTATACGCGCGGTTATTAAAATCAAGAAGAAATGTCTTGGGACGCCAGACATACCAGATGATACAAAGCGAATTGCCTTCTTGTAATTAACAAAAACGTGTTGCCTTCTAACAAAGAAAACATATTAAGAAAAAAAATTCTAGCAATTTGTATTTGTAATACCATCGACTTTATCCGGGTACTTAAAGAAAACCTTTAACCCTTATATCATCCCCTATTTGTCAGCATAGAATTTTGTAATTTTTGTCAAGAGAAACATAATAATAATAATAATAATAATAATAATAATAATAATAATAATAATGATAATGATAATGATAATGATAATTATATAATGAAAAAGATAAAAAAATTGAGAAACGTTTTTGGTACACGAAGACTTTTTTCATATCGCACTTTGCATACACGTATCAGATGAAAAATATGCTTAAAAATAAAAAAAAATTAATAAAGAGAGAGGAATGAAATACATCAGAGTACAATGAACAAAAAAGCAAGTACCTATAAATAAATAGTACCACTTCTATACATAACATCCACTTATAAACAATGAATGGACACTGCAACAAAAAATCCTATTTTTAGGTAAATTAAATTTACATATACATAACGATTGACTACGATGCAGGATATTTTAACAAATAAGACTTTACTGTAATAGGGATAAATCTATAATTACTTACTTGTAAAATAATACGAAGACACGATGGATTGACGTAAGGAACTCTAATGTAACGTTCTGTGATTCGTTGTTTGTAGGTGAAATTTAATAAAAGATTACTGTATCATAATTATTCATTTATTAATCCCTTACAATTAGAGAAAAATTAAAAAATAAGATTTTATATTATCTATTAAATATAATTAAATATAAAATCATTAAATTTTAATTTTTTGAATGAATATAATTATATTATAATATTATAATAATAATTAATAAAAAGATATATTTTTTAAATCAGATAATAATTTTTTTCAAAATAAAAGAATGAGATAATTTTATCAAAATAGAAGAATGAGATAAAATTAAACTGTAAAAATCGAGTTTTAAAAGTTGCTTATAATGATTACATGATTGTGACGTAATAGTTATATATACTTAAATGGAATTGATAAGATACTCATCTAAAGAAAACATTCCATTGGTCCGCGTATTATTGGTCGACCAATCAGTGACGTAGTTTTAAGAGAAAGTATTTCAGTGCTTGTTACACACGTAGATGATTCCACAGTTAGTATCGAACCTCGAGAAACGATAGTTGTCAAAGCAACGTCAGATTCTGGAGAATTGTGTAAGGTACAAATTGTTTTTACATTATATATCCATATTATATTTTATGTAAATAATTATTTAATTTTTTAATTATAAACGAATATCAAAAGACGAACACGAACGAAATGTTAAAGCTTTAAATTATTGATTTCACTATACAGTTAATCTTACCACACCCTGTGGCCATTTTGGACAGTAGAGAGTTGTCTACAAACGTCGAACGATAAGCATTCTTCAAAATGGATCAGATTACACCAAAGGAAGTAAAAATCTTAGAAAATCCGGAAGATATTCAAGAAAGAAGAGAGCAAGTTCTCAGCCGATATGCAAATTTTAAAGCGGAAGCTAGAAATAAGAGAGATAAACTTGAAGACTCCCGTCGCTTTCAAGTATATATTTTTTTATCGTATTTTTTTTATTTTTATTTAACTTTTATTCATCGCGTTATGAACGATTTCACTCGTTTTTAGTATTTTAAGCGAGATGCGGATGAACTTGAAGGATGGATTTTCGAAAAATTGCAAGCTGCTTCAGATGAAAGTTATAAAGATCCCACAAATCTTCAAGCAAAAATACAAAAGCATCAAGCTTTTGAAGCAGAAGTTGCAGCTCATTCTAATGCTATAGTATCATTAGATAATACTGGATCAGAAATGATAGCTCAACATCATTTTGCAAGTGATGTCATTCGTAAGAGATTAGGTAAGATTTCATTGATATTGATGGTATTTACTTAATTTATTGCTCGAAGTTAACAATCAAATTTATTTTATAGCGGATCTTCATCAATTGTGGGAATTATTACTCTCTAGATTAGCAGACAAAGGCCTTAAGTTACAACAAGCTTTGGTACTTGTACAATTTATGCGACATTGTGACGAAGTAATGTTTTGGATTCATGATAAAGAAGCATTTGTGACAACTGATGAATTTGGACATGATTTAGAACATGTTGAAGTTCTCCAAAGAAAATTTGACGAATTCCAAAAAGATATGGCTAGCCAGGAATATAGAGTAACAGAAGTAAATGAATTGGCAGATAAACTTCTTCTAGATGGACATCCTGAACGTGACACTATTTTACGTAGAAAAGAAGAACTCAATGAATCTTGGCAAAGATTAAAACAACTTGCTGTTTTGAGACAAGAAAAACTTTTTGGTGCACATGAAATTCAAAGATTCAATCGAGATGCTGATGAAACAATGGCTTGGATTGCAGAGAAGGATGTTGTCTTATCTTCAGATGATTTTGGACGTGATCTTGCAAGTGTACAAACATTACAAAGGAAGCATGAGGGCATAGAACGTGATTTGGCAGCTTTAGAAGATAAAGTTTATACATTAGGCGCTGAAGCAGATCGTCTCGCGGCTATTCATCAAGCAGATCATTCTAAACAAATTCAAGCTAAACGCGCAGAGATACTACAATCATGGGAGAGTTTAACAGCAAAAGCAAAAGAACGACGTTTGAAGCTTGATGAATCTTATTACTTGCATAGATTTTTAGCCGATTACAGAGATTTAGTTTCTTGGATGAACGACATGCGCGCGATTATTTCAGCAGATGAATTAGCTAAAGATGTAGCTGGTGCAGAAGCTCTTGTTGAAAGACATCAAGAACATAAAGGAGAAATTGATGCTAGAGCCGATAGCTTCGATGCGACTACATTGGCTGGTAACAAGTTATTGGAAAAAAACATTACGCTGCGGAGGAAGTAACTAGAAAATTAAATTCTCTCGCAGAAGATAAACAATCTCTTTTAAGTCTCTGGGAAAAGAGAAAAATTTTATACGAACAATGCATGGACTTACAATTATTTTATCGAGATACAGAACAAGCGGATGCATGGATGGCGAAACAGGAAGCATTTTTAGCAAATGAAGATTTGGGAGATTCGCTCGACAGCGTAGAAGCTCTTATTAAAAAGCATGAAGATTTTGACAAATCTTTAGCTGCTCAGGAGGAAAAAATAAAATATTGGATGAATTTGCTGGTAAATTAATAGAAGGAGAACATTATGCAGCAGATGATGTAGCGCAAAGACGTCAATTTTTATTAGAGAGACGCGCCATTCTTCTTGAAAAATCGGCTCAAAGAAGACGTCGCCTAGAGGACGCATACAAATTACAACAATTTGAACGCGATTGTGATGAAACAAAGGGTTGGGTCAATGAAAAACTCAAATTTGCCACTGATGATAGTTATTTAGATCCTACTAATTTAAATGGAAAAGTGCAGAAACATCAAAACTTTGAACAAGAATTAAATGCCAACAGAACTCGTATGGAAGAAATGGTAGCTACTGGACAAGAATTAATCGAAAGTGATCACTATGCCAGCGATAGAATTCGTACTCGTACCGATGAAATCATGTCTCTATGGGAAAGTTTAACTCATGCTACCGAAAAGAAAGGAGCCAAACTGCAAGAAGCCTCCCAACAGCAACAATTTAATCGTACTGTCGAGGATATCGAATTATGGCTCTCAGAGGTAGAAGGACAATTGATGTCTGAAGATTACGGTAAAGATTTAACCAGTGTGCAAAATCTCCAAAAAAAACATGCTCTTTTGGAAGCTGATGTCGCATCTCATTCTGACAGGATCGAAAGCATTGCCCAAGCTGCAGATCAATTTGTGAAATCTGGTCATTTTGATGCAGATAATATCAAAGCTAAACAGGAACAATTACAAGCTCGATATGGAGCTCTTCAACAGCCTATGAGTATTCGTAAACAACGACTTCTCGATTCATTGCAGGTTCAACAATTATTTAGAGATATAGAAGACGAAGAAGCATGGATTCGTGAGAAAGAACCAGTTGCAGCATCTACCAATCGCGGTCGTGATCTCATTGGTGTACAAAATCTACAGAAAAAGCATCAGGCTGTTCTAGCAGAGATAAATAACCATGAACCACGCGTGGCTGCTGTTTGTCAGGCAGGTGCGTCAATGTTGCAAGAAAGTCATTTCGCCGCCGAAGAAATTAGCCAACGTTTAGCTGCACTGGACGAACATTGGGGACAATTAAAAGAGAAAGCTAGACAACGTAAAAATGACTTAGACGATTCTCTGCAAGCACATCAGTACTTTGCTGATGCTAACGAGGCTGAATCTTGGATGAAGGAGAAGCGACCTATAGTCATGAATGCTGATTATGGAAAAGATGAAGACAGTTCCGAAGCTCTCTTAAAGAAACATGAAGCATTAGTCAGTGATCTGGAAGCGTTTGCAAGTACTATAGCCGCGCTTAGAGATCAAGCTGCCTCTTGCCGTCAACAAGAAACTCCTACTGTTGACATTACTGGCAAAGAATGTGTGGTGGCACTATATGATTATACAGAAAAATCACCAAGAGAAGTTTCCATGAAGAAGGGTGATACTTTGACTCTGTTGAATTCTAACAACAAAGATTGGTGGAAGGTTGAAGTAAATGATCGTCAAGGTTTTGTTCCAGCCGCTTACGTAAAAAGAGTTGAACCTGAAGCAGGATTGAGCGCTTCCCAGCAAAATTTAGCAAGAGAACAAAGTTCTATTGCAGCCAGACAAGCTCAAATCGAAGCTCAATATGATGATCTTCTGAGGCTTGCCCGTGAAAGACAAAACAAGCTTAATGAAACAGCCAAAGCTTATGTACTCGTCAGAGAAGCTGCAGAATTGGCTACTTGGATCAAGGATAAAGAGAATCATGCTCAAGTTCAAGATGTTGGTGAGGATTTGGAACAAGTAGAAGTGATGCAAAAGAATTCGACGATTTCCAAGCTGACCTTAAAGCCAATGAAGTTCGTCTTGCTGAGATGAACGAGATTGCCGTACAATTAATGAGCCTTGGACAAACGGAAGCAGCTTTAAAAATTCAAACGCAAATACAGGATCTCAATGAAAAATGGACCAGTTTGCAAACCCTTACTGCAGAGCGTGCTAATCAACTCGGCTCTGCTCACGAAGTTCAACGATTCCATCGTGATGTTGATGAGACCAAGGACTGGATTCGTGAAAAAGACGCTGCGCTAAATAACGACGATCTTGGAAAGGATCTGCGCAGTGTACAAGCTTTGCAGCGCAAACATGAAGGATTAGAAAGAGATCTAGCTGCTTTGGGAGATAAAATAAAACAATTAGATGAGACAGCTAATCGCCTGATGCAATCGCATCCTGAAACTGCTGAACAGACTTATGCTAAGCAAAAAGAGATCAACGAAGAGTGGACTCAACTAACGGCAAAAGCTAATAGCAGAAAGGAGAAGTTATTGGATTCTTATGATCTACAACGTTTTCTCAGCGATTACAGAGATTTGATGGCTTGGATAAATTCAATGATGGGTTTAGTCGCTTCGGAGGAGCTGGCTTCGGATGTAACCGGTGCAGAAGCTCTCCTCGAACGACATCAGGTAAGTTTGATCGATCAAAAGATAGCTGATACTGAAATGATCAAATGATCACACAGTCGTTCACGAGTCATTCATGAATTATAGAATCACAGAGCAGAGATAGACGCACGATACGGCATACTTCTAGAGGTACTGAAGTGTTGAAAAGAGCATGGAACAAAACTGTGCGACTTTGCCTCTGAATATATTTTATACATTTTTTATAATTAATCACATTTTTTTATGTATATTTTTTTATGTTGCTAAATTTCTTTTCATGAAAAAAAGAACAGATTGACAAATCGATGTTTTAAAATAATGAAGACACCGCCTTATTAACACTTATGGAATATTTTCAAAGCTTTTTATAGTGTAATCGCTGTCTTTTTCGCTTATCGTAGTGTCTATTGTCGAATGGATTGAAACCGTGCAAAATATGCGTGTGAATTTATGGAGACTCTTATCAATAGTACACATAAATTGATGTAACTTTTATTTCATTTATGTTATAGGAACACCGCATGGAAATCGATGCCAGAGCAGGTACTTTCCAGGCATTCGAACTTTTTGGTCAACAGCTTCTGCAATCCAGTCATTATGCAAGTGTTGAAATTCAAGAAAAACTCGAATCCATGGCAGAAGCACGCCAAGAACTAGAAAAAGCTTGGATCCAACGACGTATGCAATTAGATCAAAATTTAGAGCTACAATTATTCTGTAGAGATTGTGAGCAAGCTGAAAATTGGATGAGCGCACGAGAAGCCTTCTTGAGTAGTGCAGATACTGTCGATAGTAGCGATAATGTGGAGGCTCTAATTAAGAAACACGAAGATTTTGACAAAGCTATCAACGCTCATGAAGAAAAGATTGCTACGTTGCAAACTTTAGCTGATCAACTGATTGCCGCCGAGCATTATGCTGCGAAACCAATTGATGAAAGACGTTGCCAGGTTCTCGATCGTTGGAAACATTTAAAAGATGCTCTTATTGAAAAGCGTTCTAAATTGGGAGAATCTCAAACTCTACAACAATTCTCTCGAGATGCTGATGAAATGGAAAATTGGATCGCTGAAAAACTACAATTGGCTACTGAAGAGAACTATAAAGATCCAGCTAATATTCAATCGAAACATCAAAAACATCAAGCATTTGAGGCCGAATTGGCAGCAAATGCTGATAGAATTCAATCTGTACTAGCCATGGGAGGTAATTTAATTGAGAAACATCAATGTGCTGGTTCTGAAGATGCCGTTCAAAAAAGACTTGCCTCAATTGCCGATCAATGGGAATATCTTACTCAGAAAACTACAGAAAAATCTATGAAACTTAAAGAAGCTAATAAACAGCGCACATATATCGCTGCTGTTAAAGATCTTGATTTTTGGCTTGGTGAAGTGGAAAGTTTACTCACATCTGAAGATGCTGGCAAAGATTTGGCTTCTGTACAAAATTTGATGAAAAAACACCAATTAGTTGAAGCCGATATTCAGGCACATGAAGAAAGAATCAAAGATATGAACGCGCAGGCAGATTCTCTTATTGAAAGTGGACAATTTGATGCAGCTGGTATTCAAGAAAAACGACAAAGTATAAATGAGCGCTACGAGAGAATTCGCAATCTTGCTGCTCATAGACAAGCAAGATTAAATGAAGCAAATACATTGCACCAATTCTTCAGAGATATTGCTGATGAAGAGTCTTGGATCAAGGAGAAAAAATTATTAGTCGGATCAGATGATTATGGTCGTGATCTTACTGGCGTGCAAAACTTAAAGAAGAAACATAAGAGATTGGAGGCAGAGTTAGGTAGCCATGAGCCTGCGATACAAGCTGTTCAAGAAGCGGGAGAAAAATTGATGGATGTTTCTAATCTGGGAGTACCTGAAATTGAGCAACGTTTGAAACTTCTCAACCAAGCATGGGCTGAATTGAAACAACTGGCTGCTAATAGAGGACAAAAACTAGATGAGTCTCTAACTTATCAACAATTTTTGGCTAAAGTCGAAGAAGAAGAAGCTTGGATCACGGAAAAACAACAATTGTTATCAGTTGAAGATTATGGTGACACCATGGCTGCTGTACAAGGCTTATTGAAAAAACACGATGCCTTTGAACTGATTTCGCAGCTCATGGTGAACGTTGCAAAGATATCTGTGAAGCTGGAGAAGCTTTGATTAAAGCTGGAAATCATCGTGCAGATGCAATAGGACAAAGATGTGCCCAGCTTCGTAATAAATTAGAACAACTTGGTGCTCTTGCGGCCAGAAGGAAGACTCGACTTAATGATAATTCGGCATATTTACAATTTATGTGGAAAGCAGATGTAGTTGAATCTTGGATTGCTGATAAGGAAACTCATGTACGTTCAGAAGAATTCGGAAGAGATTTGTCTACCGTACAGACGTTATTAACTAAACAAGAAACCTTTGACGCGGGATTACATGCCTTTGAACACGAGGGAATTCAGAATATTACTTCTTTGAAAGAAATGCTAGTCGATTCTGGACACGATCAGACACCTAGTATTCAGAAACGTCATGCAGATGTTATTGCTCGCTGGCAGAAGCTTTTAGCTGATTCTGATGCAAGAAAGCAACGTTTGCTAAGAATGCAAGATCAATTCAGACAAATTGAAGAATTATATTTAACATTTGCCAAAAAAGCATCTGCTTTCAATTCATGGTTTGAAAACGCAGAAGAAGATTTAACCGATCCTGTACGATGTAATAGTATTGAAGAAATTCGAGCTCTTAGAGAAGCACATGCACAATTTCAAGCAAGTTTATCTTCAGCAGAGGCAGATTTTGAAGCTTTGGCAGCTCTTGATAGGCAAATCAAAAGTTTTAATGTTGGTCCTAATCCGTACACATGGTTCACAATGGAAGCTTTAGAAGACACTTGGCGCAATTTGCAAAAAATAATTAAAGAACGTGATGTAGAGCTTGCAAAAGAAGCTCAACGGCAAGAAGAAAATGACAAATTGCGTAAAGAATTTGCTAAACATGCTAACGCATTCCATCAATGGCTAGCGGAGACAAGAACATCTATGATGGAAGGATCAGGATCGTTAGAACAACAATTAGAAGCAACAAAGAGAAAAACTCAAGAAGTTCGTGCACGTCGTCAAGATTTGAAGAAAATCGAAGATTTGGGAGCAATTTTGGAAGAACATTTAATATTGGACAATCGTTATACGGAACATAGTACCGTAGGATTGGCACAACAGTGGGATCAATTAGATCAATTGGGAATGCGTATGCAACACAACTTAGAACAACAAATACAAGCACGTAATCAATCTGGTGTTTCTGAAGATGCCCTTAAAGAATTCTCAATGATGTTTAAACACTTTGATAAGGATAAGAGTGGTCGTTTAAATCATCAAGAATTCAAGTCATGTTTGAGAGCTCTTGGTTATGATTTACCAATGGTAGAAGAAGGCCAACCTGATCCAGAATTTGAAAACATCCTTGGTATATTTAAAAAATAATTATGAAATATAGATATATTTATATATAAATTTATAATGTTGTACTGTATAATATAAAATTTTTATTTTTCAGATGTTGTTGATCCAAATAGAGATGGTTATGTATCATTGCAAGAATATATGGCATTTATGATCAGTAAGGAAACAGAAAATGTACAAAGTTCTGAGGAAATAGAAAATGCTTTCCGTGCTATTACTGCTGCAGATCGGCCATATGTTACGAAAGAAGAATTATATGCTGTAAGTATAAAAAATAATTTTTAAATATATAATTATTAATTTATTCTTATCTTTTTTCTATTAACAATATATTATGTATATGTTTAGAATCTTACCAAGGAGATGGCTGATTATTGTGTTGCTCGCATGAAACCTTATGTCGATCCAAAAACGGAACGACCAATCACAGGAGCATTGGATTATATTGAATTTACTCGCACTCTTTTCCAGAATTAATTGTAGTTACATAAATTATTCCTTTTTTATTATAACAATTAAATTATAGAATGTTACAGTTAAACTATTGAATGCTTACTTATTTCATTAAACACCTCACACTTCAATACTATATATACATATATATATATATATATATGTAACCAATCATTTATCTTAAATTTATTTACAGCGCACTTTATACTGTTTTGTATGTAACATATTTGCTATTAATGAAAAATCATGAAAAATAAATTATATGCATTATATATAATGATTTACATATGTATTTTACAGTATGAAATAATTTAAAAAATTTTTTTTTAACAAAATTTTATTGAGATTATGTAAAATTAAAAACTATATTTAAATATATATAGTAAAACTTAAATAAGAAAAAATAAAATAGAATTATATTCTTTTTAATAATTCGTAATAATACGCTATCTACTTGTTTGTTTATTAGATCTTGGTAAAAATCTATTTAATATTCCATAATCTTTTTGAGATTTTTTCTACTTTCTTTATATTTGATTGAATATTTGCTTGGCGAAGTATATTAATAGTTCCTAAAAAAAAAGTAATATTTTTTAATATTTATAATATATATGTATCAAAAAAAAAAAAAAATTATTTACCCTTCGATTTAAATCTTTTAGAATCTTTTTAGTCTTAATTACTTTAGCTGTTCCGCCTTTACCTTTAGCCTTCGTTCTACGAGGTTTGAAATCTATCTCTTTTGGTTTAAGATACTATAAGCATAATATGATATAGAGTTTTTTAATTATTTTTTTTAATTATTATAAAAAAGAAAATTAATTTAATTTATTAAATTTATTAAATACTCACCAAAAGATTCTTTTTAGCTTCTATTTTATCTTTTAAGGTGGGTACATCTACTTCTGTAATAGCAATTGGATCCAAACATATTAATTCTGGTTGAATCTTATCTAATAGAGCTTTTATTTCAGCTTCGCGTCTCTGAATTTTAGTTTGGAATGGATTATTTTCAAGAGCATCAAAGTTAGCTTCTCCACTTCCTGGTACTAAAAGAGAAGAAACTCCTCTCAATGTACCAATACCTAAAATATCTTCATATGGACAAAATTGCATACTTGTCACAGTCCATTCAGCTCTATGACGTAAGTAAGGTTTTATTTCATTGGCCAATGATCTAATAATAGAAATTATATTTATATGCATAAATTATAATTATTATTAATTAATATATTATTAATATAATATAATAAATTAATATATATATATATATATAAATTATAATTATAATTTACCGATAAACTTCTACAACATTTCCCATAGCTAATGCTAATTGACCACATTGACTATAAGATAAATGTTGAACTGGAGCCCGTACACGATAATTATGCACTGGACCTGCTAATTGTCTAATATCCCATATTTTTACAAATTTATCTTGGCAACTAGTTGCCATATAAGTTCCATAAGGATGAACTGCACAAGCAGCTACTGCTTGAGTATGACATAACATTTTTACCAAAGGATCTTTACTATTTGGAGACCACATTGAAACTATACCTTTTGAGTCACCCACACAAAGTAATGCATTACTAGGATTTTGTGTCATTACCTATAAAATAATTGATAATTTTTTACATTAATTATATTATATTAACTAAATAGTAAATAATATAAATAATAATAAGTAAAAAATTATAAACTATATTTAAACTTACTGCTATTTTTCCTAATTTGGAATTAAAAGAGTTTACAAATTTTCCAATGGAAATATCTAACCATGCCAAGTAACCATCTCTAGATCCACTGGCAAGTAAAAAATGATAAGGCAAAAATTCTAATTTATTAATTTTGTTCATTAATTTTAAACAATGAAGTTCAATTCCTTGATTGTCATAAATAAATACCCATTCTTTTTGTGCTACTGCAAACATTGTTTCTATATGAAGCCATGATACATCATGTACTGATTCCATTACATTTATTTCACAAGCTAATTTTTTTGTGATCCAATCTAAAGCAGCTACATGACCTTTCTTCCCACCTAATACTAAATGTCTACCATTTCTTGTATATTTTATATAATACGGTCCAAAATCTAAATTTAATGTAAAATGTTTAGCAGCACTTGTTATATCTGCATTATCTGCAATTTGTTTTTGATTATATTGTACTGTTATTTCTCCAGCATCAGCTTCCAAACAACCATAATCTTCTGTCAAAAGTAATTCAGTACGAGCAGTATCTTTTACTGTTATTTCAAAATTTTTCTCCTTTCTTTTTAATTTTTGTTTTATTACTTTATTTCTGATTTTAGATGATCCTGATTTTAAATCAATTCCATCACCTTTACTATATTTTGCTAATTTTTCTGGATCAATTGATACTTGATTACGATATCTATGATCTGTAAATATTATTTATAATTATTTTTAAAATATAATCATATAAAATAAAATTATATCAATGAATAAACAATACATATATGTAAATAAATTATGTGTATAAGTACTTGTGGATTTCATTCTTCTCATAGATTTCATTGTTTTTTTAACTTGCATTGTTTCTGTAGGTCTCGTTATTTTTGTAGATTTCATTGTTCTTGATAATTAAAACAACAATTATATTTGATAATTAAAACAATTATTTTTTTTATTATATTAAAATTTAAATTCTACTCTTTGTCATAATTTTAATCGATCACCACGCGTAAATTTATAAGACGCCATATTTATTTAAAGCAACGTTTACAGAATGAACGAATTAATGAATAATTTCTATCAATGATTTTTTTCTTTATTAAATCTTAGATATTCATTTTATTAAATCTTTCTTCAATGAAAACCATAAAAAGATCAATATATAAATATATAATATCATTATATTTTATCAATATATAAATATTTTGTAAATAATCTATCAAAAAATGATATTTCCAAATGTTCAAATCTATTTATAATCTTATTTTATTTACATTTATTTATTTTATTTTTTTGTATTTATATTTATTTATAATTTTATTGAAATTTAGTTTCAGTTTCAATTATCATTAATATTGCAATTTTATTTCGAATTGAATCGATAATGTTGAAAATAGAGTTTTTTTAGTATAAAATATGAAGTGCATATTATATCTATTTTGTATTTTATCTGTGTTAAAAATAATTCAGTGATATACAAGAATATAAGATAGAAAATTCCATAAGATGGTAGATCTATTTTATAATCTTATTCGTGTTCAATATAAAAACATGAGAAATAATATATAGTTCAATCTTAATCTATATACATAATCAAAGGTTGTACAACTGTTGTTACTTTTGTATACTTCAAATTTAACCTGCCAAGAATCCGGCAAATTTATTTTCAAACGTAATTGTTTATATAAAGATTATTATAAAGTAATTAAACATGAAAACTGCACCTGATCCAAAAGATATACAGGTATTACATGTTACTTTTTAAAAATATAATTGTATTAATATTTGCTTTCTAGCCTATAAAAACTTTTCTTAAAATTTTTAGATCATGTATTTATATAATACGTCATTCTTTTAAAAATAAAAAAATATATATGTACATTCATATATATTATTTTATTATATTTCTGTTATATACATCTTATTGTAATTTTTCAGGAATTTCAATTTAAACAGTCAAATACTTCCCAAGTTTTAGATGCATTTACATCCATACCAACTGCATGCAGTTTATTGGTTACAGATAAGAAAAGGGGATTGTTATATGTAGGTCAAAATAATAAAATAATTATGTTAAAACCAGGAGAAGATAATGACCCAGAGTGGAAAGTAGAATTTAATATACCTGTAGCTGTGTCTAAATTAACACTTAATTGTGATTGTTCCTATTTAGCTGTGGCAGCACATGGATCTATAATTTTAATTTATGATGCACAAGCACTTACAAAAAATGTATGTCTAAATTAATATGAAATTCTTTTTTTTTTGATATTTTTAAAGAATTTTATAATCATATCTTTTTTTCCAGAATTTACAATTATTACATAAAGTTAAAGTTTCTACATCAAATGGAGATATATTTGTGAATGATCTACGATGGAATCCTGCTATATCAGGAATGTTATGTACAATAGCTAGTGATTATACAATTGGTAGTTTTAAAATAAAAGAAAAAAAAAGGAAATTGAATCAAAAGTTTTAGAGAAATTTAATGATGATGGTTTACATGCTTTATGTGCAGCATGGAGTCCTAAGGGGAAACAAATTGTTGTGGGTTGTAAAAATGGTAATATAGTACAATTTAAACCTGATTTAAAAGTAGCTAGAACAATTTCTGGTCCAAACCCATATATTGGAGAAGTTGTTAGTATTTTATGGATCAGTAATTATCAGTTTTGTGCTGCTTATTTGGGTAATGAACAAGGGATTAATGTTCTTATAATTGATGCTCCCAAAGGTGAAGCAAATGCTATTTTTACTTGTTATGAAGATATTACTTATGGAGTAACAGATGCAGAAGGAGAAGGAACAATTCCACGTTATTATTTTGATCATGTGCCAGAATGGGGTTTAATTATTGCTGCTAGCAGTAATAGTAGTGAAGTAGCTGTATTAGGATCTACAGATAAAGGAATTACTTGGAATCAATGGCAATTGGTAGATAGTGGCAGAGCTGAACTACCATTGATTCATACTACAGAAAGCTATCCAGTGGGTTTAGCTATTGACAAATCTGCAGTTAGAAAATTACCATGGGGAGCAGATTCTACTTTACCTCATCCAGTTCCTATACTTCATATTCTTGCAACATCTGGACAATTATGTAGTTTTCATATGGTGAATCTGACTCCTAATTGTCCTCCAATTAATTGTCCACCTACAGAAATTATTGGAACTCCACCACAAATACAAACAGGATTTGAAACATCTTTTATTATGAATGGTCTAGCAACTAGTACACCACTTTCTAAACAACCAGAAAATGTTTCTGAACGTTCAAAATCTATTTCTTCAGGAAATATTTTCAATAAATTTGGTCAAGGAAGTAATTTTGTTGTACAACCTTCAACTGAAAAACTAAAACAAGAACAAAAATCTGAACATACAAACATAGGAATAAAATTATTAGAACCAGCTAAAGAAATTCAACCTCAAGAAATTGATAAATTGGATGTTAAATTAACGTCAGTTAAAGAAATAATTATGCAAGAACCTATGCAAGAATCTAATTCATCTGCAGATTATTTTGCTTATCGTGCTTATATAGAAGAACGTAATTTGTTTGAAAAGGAATTATGTAATAGATTAGAACCACAAACGTGGGAATGTGGTACAGAAGAAGAACGTCAAAAACTTGTAGATACAATTACTATAATAGATCAATTTCTGCGAGAATTGAAAAAAACAACAAATAGCTTGTCTAGTGACATTGCATATTTAAAAGCATTGTTATTACAATCATTTGCTTGGGTTGAGGAAACAAAATCAAAAAAAAATGCAGCAACTAATGATATTACTACTAGAAATTGTGGAGATAGTAATAAAATATTTGATTTACAAAAACTTTATTATTATACTCAAACACAACTTACTCAAGCTACTAAAATCTTAGATTTAGAATGGTCAGATCATAAATATCAAGAAATGTCACGTATGAAAATTCCTCATTTGGAATTCATTTACCAAAATCTCATATTACATAATAAAATTATTCAAGAAGAAAAAAGCAAAATAGAACAACTTAAAAATAAATGGAAATCAAATATTTGTAGTAATAGTATTTTTGGGTTAAATCGTTCATTATCTAATTTAAATATCACATCACCAAAATCTTTGAATACTCTTTCAAGAAATACAGGAATTATAGAAGCGCGATGTAAAGCAATTGCTTCTAGAACTTTGAGTTTCACTCCAGAAAAACAAATTAAATTAAGAAAACATTTGTCTATTTCTACTCCAAGAATAATAAAACCTGTTAATCCTTCTCCTAGTCAAGAGAAAATATTGCTTCGTTTAGAAGCAACTTTATCCTCTTTAAATTCTCTCAATATTACAAATGTTAATATTCAAAACAAAATGGAACAATCTACTTCCAAACAAAATTCAATTATCAAGAAACAAAGTATTGAAAATACAAATCAACAAAGTCCGTTAGCATCCTTAAATAGTATTGTAGCAAGAATTGGTACAAGTGAAACTAATGCATCAACACAAAATAAAATGCAAAGCAAACCTAACTTTGGTATTACTTTTCCATCTATAATTGGAAATAAAACAGAAAAAATATCTAGTACTTTACCAATTACTACAATATCTCAAAATACTAAACCAAAACAAGATACTATTATATTCAATCAAAGCAATGTTTCTCCTCATATTTCATCTAATATAATAAAATCTTTACCTAAGGTTGATACTATTACATCTGATATATCAACACAAAAATCAGAAGAAATTGCTGCACAGAATTCAGTATGGTTCAAAGTAGAAAATAATTTACTTAATAATACTTCATTAAAAGATTCATTATCACCAGAAATTTCATCAGAGAAGATACAAACAACTACTGTTATTCCAAATACTGGAATAACAACACAATTAACAACAATAACAAAAACTAAATCAATATCTACATTTAGTTTTGCTACTCCAATTACCTCTACATCAATAAAAAGTACTACACAAAATACATTTGCTATATCTCAAACAACAAGTGCACAAACATTTTCTTTTGCTTCAAAACCTTCAAATATTACTACTTCATTTAATTTAAAAATGATGCCATCAACGACGACATCTCAAACGCAAGATTCGTTAAGTTTAGCAGGATCATTTGCTGGTTTGCAAACGACTAATCAAATATCTAATGTTTCTAATAGTTCTAATGTCGATGGAAAATATAACTATAAACCTACATTTGGAACACCTGGCTTTCAGATATTATTAGGGCAAACATCAAGCGAAAATCAGATTTCTGTAAAACTCGTAACTGGAGCTTCTCTTAAGGAAACAGTTACAACTACACCTTCTGTGACAATTGAAGAAATACCTTCTTCTGAATCAAAAACTTCAACAAGTTCTATTCAAGGTTTATCTACATCTTCTGCTACTCCTTTATTTAGTAGTCAAACAAATACATCAAATATTTCTATATTTGGAGGAATTTCGAATTCTAATGCAACTATAACTACATGTACTATCACAACAACTACTCCAACTACACAAACAACAAGTACTTCATCTATGCCATTATTTGGCGATTTCATTCCAGCATCAAGTACTACAGCAAGTACAATAACAACTTCTGATACAATATCTCCTTTTCAAAGTTCTTTATCAAAATCTTTTGAGAAAGCTACCATTAATTTACCTACAACAAATCTCACCAATACTGCTACTACTACTTCTTCTACACTTACATTTGGAAATATAACAACTTCAGTTGCTTCAGTTTTTCAACCTTCTCTTACAATGAATTCTCAATTTCCAAGTACACCAGTAGTTTCTTCAACACCTACTACTTCTGAAAAACCTGTTTTTAAACCTTTTGAAACTTCTGCGGATGCATTTATGTTTCGTAAAGCACCTATGACAACCGTTTCAATCTTTAGCGGAAATACCAATTCGATTTTCGGTGGAAATACTCAAGCAACATCTTCTCCAACTTCTATTTTCGGAGGAAATGCATCCACGATAAATACATTTGGATCGCCTCAAATGTCTATATTTGATAATAATGCCCAAAAATCTGATTCAA